GAACATGGCCCTATATTTAATTCTACAGATTTTTTTCAAGTATATGTGGATATATTATGATCATAGATCATCTCCAATTTATTTGCTAATATACTTAACATAGGATATGACATTTTCTAAATTTTTATATGCTTTTTATGGTCCTTATTTTTCATTTATCATAGTTCATTGAACTGATATGATAGAATTTAGTGAAACAGCCATAGGAGGTATATAAAGTATTGACCCATTTTCACTATTTCTGACTTTGCTACAAATGACATTCCACCACTATTTTCCTTAAATTCTGTGCATTATTTTTAAATCACCTTATGACATTTGCTGTGGAAAAAACCCCGAGGAAAATCTATTTCTTTTTTCCTTCCATTTTTTTTTAGGTCAGTTCTTTTTCCTGCTCTAATGCGTATATATTATATTGTTTCCCTTTCCATGAAATTCTTCAAACTCAATTATTCCCTTGGCTTAGTAACATTTTTTCTGTGATATTTTTAGTATTTTGCTCTCCTCCTTTGGTCTTTATTTCCCCAAATTCCCACTATTATTTGTAAGGTTTTGGGGGGGACTATTTAGCCTTGAGAAATACAATAAAAATAAAATTGAATCTTTTTAAAAATCTGTATCCACATGTCAAATTGCCTTCCATATTACTGAGTGGATTTCCCCAAGTTTTTCTGTTTTTTTTTGTTGTTGTTTTTTTAGTTTTTTTTATAGATGACAAAGCAGATTTTTCTTTAAGTAAACATTTCTGAATTCCACAAAATCTTTCTCCACCTTTGTGTCTTATTTTCCATCTCAGCTGACTACTTCCTTGCCAAGTTTGTGTGTTTTTTGTTTTTTTTTAACCCTCCTTATAAGCAATTTAATTCTATATTTAAGAACTGGGGCAGTGCTTTTGCAATGGCTTTTCTCTTTGTCACCGCAATCCATTCATGAACGATGCTCCCTTGCATCCCTCTCAGAATTCCAAGCCATCCCCAAACTTGCAGAATTTGGTCCTCATTCCTGCTCGAGGCTCCAACCCCAACCATTGACTTATTCACGGGGACTATTTCTGCAGCCTGACTCCCTGCAGCTTTTTGTCCCTCAACACACACGTGAGACACGCTTAGCTAGTTGCGGTTACAAAGTGTACCATGTACGCCTTGAGGGCTACGCTTAATGATACTGTATTTTATGCTTAAAAGTTGCGAAGAGAGAAAGTAGCGAAAGTTCTCAGGACCAGGAAGAAAATATGTAACCACGCAGGGTGATACATGTTACCCAGACTTGCTGTGATTATTCTGCAACACGGGCCTACTGAAGCAATATGTTGCACACCCGAAACTAATACAATGTTGTCAATGGAAGAAACAGTCAAACCTGTGAAGAATTGTTGTGAGTTTATTTGAGCCAAACTGTGGACACAGTTGCCGGGAAGCAGAATGGACTGAGATGATGCTCCTGAGATGGGCAGTTTTGCCCCTTGTTTTATGCAAAGAGGAGATGTCAGGGAGTCCTGTGAAATCCACGGGGGACAGATGAGGTGGGAGAAAGCAAGGTGGGAAAACCTCTGGGGTTGGGTAGAAAGTGAAATGATGGACACACGTCTTTTACTCAGGTGGGTGCAGGACAGTTAACTCAACAATTAACTCGATGATAATGAGGGGACCTGTGGTCTCTGCAGAGCGGAGCCTGTGCCCTGAGGGGTCTGGAAAAAGGGAAATTACTCTGACATCCCAACAATATGTGATCGTAGATGCAAAAACACAATAGACAGTCTCAGTTCAGGTAAAGATGGACCTTTGTCAGGGGAGATACCAGCCTAGGACCTGACGACCCTCCATAAACTGCTTTTAGTTAGAAAGTTTTCCTTTCAAACCATCCTATGTGGTTCCTTTAGGCCTCTGAGTTTGCAAGGCCGCCCGCAGGCCTCCCTGGAGCCCATCAGGTTAGTGTGGGGCCCCTTTTCCGTCCCCAGTGTTATATGTCAATTACACCTCAATTTTTTTAAAAAAAGAAACCAAGCCCTTTGACACCTTAATCTTGGGCATCTGGCTTCAGAGCAATGAGAAAATGGGTATTGATTGTTTAAGCCAAAAAAAATAAAAGTGATTTGGAGGTAAAGTGATACAGCAGAATCCCTTCTCTTCTCTAGGTTTTGGGGCACTTTGCTCCCTGCGTCAGTCTCCACACACCTCCCCACCCCCATGTCCNGTAGGTTTTGGGGCACTTTGCTCCCTCGGTCAGTCTCCACGCACCTCCCCACCCCCATGTCCATCCTTATAGTTTCCCTTTCAGTTCTCATNAGGTTTTGGGGCACTTTGCTCCCTGCGTCAGTCTCCACACACCTCCCCACCCCCATGTCCATCCTTATAGTTTCCCTTTCAGTTCTCATAAGAGTTGCATCGTCTCTCACAAGAAGCTTCTTCTTGTTTCCTAGGAGATGGCCCCAGGCCTCAGGGTCAGGTAGGTGTCCCCCAAACGCATCCCTGAATACTCTGTACTTTACCCAACAAAACCGTGCCCAGTATATAGGGTGTCCCCCTTTCTATAATGATAAAGGCAGCATTTATTAAAATACATCTCGCCCGGCCGGGCACAGCTCAGCGGTTGAGCATCGACCTAGGATCCAGGCGATCGGGGTTCGATTCCCGGTCAGGGCACATGTCCGGGTTGTGGGTTCCATCAATGACTCTCATCATTGATGTTTCTATCTCTCCCTCCCCCTCTCCTTTCCTCTGTCTGAAATCAATAGATATATTTCAAAACAAAAAATTCTTTATATATAAAAAAAATACATCTCATTGTCAAAATGGAGCTTCCAGCTATTAAAGTGTGTCTGCCTTTTGGGGGGACACCCTGTATTCTAAGCTACGCAAAGGCAGGGAGATTATGTCTTCTTGATGAGCCCGTCTCCACGGCCGGGCACCGTATCCCTGGGCATCCGTAACCATAATGATTCATCATTTCTCTTCCATGCGTTAATTATTTAAGAACGTTCCCTCTGAGCGAGGAACGATCTCGACCGAGGGAAACACTAACAAGAGCCCGACGTTTGCCGAGAGCCTGAACACTCAGAGCCTTGTGGTTGGAAGGTTCAGTTTCAAAATCCAATTAGCGTTAGGAAGCTGCAGGATGTTCCTTCGACGAATAGGTCTGAAGCCAGTCGGCGTTTCTGACCCGGGTTCCGGGATGCCAGGGGCCCGGAAGGCTCGGCTTCCTGGGTGCTGGACATGCGGCCAGAAGCTTTGCAAACACGGTCCATTTCCATCGTCACACGCGAGATACGCGTCGTCCGGTTATCAGAAAAGTGCGTGGACGGTCGTTCTCCGTTGCTAGGAGGGGCGGGGTGCTTGGGGTACCCCTGGAATAAGCATTTCTGGAGGCCCCCACCAGAAAATGAGGTTGCTAGGAAGCTTTACGTGCGTGGAATCGTACCCCTGGGTTTGCAAGCTCCCATCTCCCTTTGTCCGGGCCCAGGAGAGGGGCGGCTGGGGTTTCAGTAGAGCCCGAAGCAAAGCCGGTGTCCAGTTTCTGTTCCACGTGGGAATTAGGCCGGGCTCAGAATTAGGCTAGTTGTGGTCCATTAGTCCACCGTGTGGGGTCCGCAGGGTTGCGGGTCATGCGGGGAAAATGCAGGAGCGCGGGAGCCCCGCAAGCCAGGAGGGCCAGGAGCCAACGAGAGAGAAGAGTCCTTGGTTTTAGGGGCTTAGACGTCTCTGAATCTTCCCGAGCTTGCAGTGTCCACGCCGACCCTGGCCAGCGACCTGCTCCCAGGGGTGACTGACCAGCACGTCCCTTCCCCACGTCACCCAGGGCGTGCGTCTGGATTGCAGCCTCCTGGCGAAGCTGCGCGAATGGCACGCCCGTAATAGTTGGCCTTCCCTTTGCGCCTTTCCGCTCGCCAATAACCAGGTTATTGCAACCGTATCAGTCCCATTTTCCAAATAAATTTAAAAAACAAACAAAAAACCTGAATGCGGGGAGAGGTCTCCCAGCTGCTGGTGGCCTGGACCAGCCTCCGACTCCTTGCGTCCAGCAGGACCACCCCCTCTGAGAACGATATTGTGCGAGGCCAAAGCTAGTTGCCTCGGCCGTGAAAATTTTAAACCCGCATGCAGTCAGTCAGAACCTTTCCAGTTACCACCAACATCAAATAAGTGTTTTTTTAACCTTCCTAACGTTTTACACTCTAGTTCCATCTTCATCATTACCTGATAGAAACACAGAGAACCTTTGTGATAAACTTAAAACTGCTTTCTTCTTGAACTCGATGCTAGGAAACAATTATGGGAACAAGACTTGCAATGAGCTGGGCCACCTTTTAGGTGACACGTGTCCAGGGCTCTCGGTCAGAAAAGCTGCCCGGCGGGCGCAGCTCAGCCGATGAGCAGCTTCCCCTGTGGCAGGAGGTCAGGGTTCGATTCCCGGTCAGGGCACAGGCCCGGGTGTGGGCTCGATCCCCAATAGGGGGCCTGCAGGAGGCAGCCCACCCATCTTTTAAATTTTTTTTTTAGCTTTTACATATATATTTTCTAATTTTATTGTTGAAAATATTCCAGCTGTGTCCCATTTCCCCTTCCACCCATCTCCCACCCTCACCGTTCACCTGTCTATTGTCTGTGTCCATGGTCTGTTCATAAGGTGCTTCTAAGTTCCTCGGTTAATTTCCTCCCACCGTCCTTCCCTCTGAGACTTCAGTCTGTTCCATGCCCCCGTGTCTGGGGTCTTACCTTGCCCGTCAGTTTATTTTGTTCATTAGCTTCCACGTATAAGTGAGATCATGGGGACACTTGTCTTTCTCCGCCTGGCTTATCTCACTCAGCATAATCCTCTCCAGGTCCCTCCCTGCTGCCCCGAAGGGTAAGAGATCCACCTTTTTCACAGCTGCGTAGTATTCCACGGCGTAGACATACCGAAGCTTTTTTTGTCTACTCACCTACGGATGGGCACTCGCAGCCCACCAGTCGCGATGCACCCGTGTTTCTCTCTCTCTCTGTCCCCCTCTCCCTTCCTCTCTCTCTCAAATCAATAAAAAGATATTATTTAAAAATGCTGTCTACTTGATATGCACGTTTAAGGCTTAACTTTCTGAGCCTGGTCACACTCATATTTCCTCATGTCATCTGGACCTTTGGCCAGACCCTCTGGCCCCTCACTCCTTTCTCATCGACTGAGTCAATGGCCAAGTCTGGTTTCCCAGGGGCCCAAGGTCACCTTCCAATCGACTGAAGGTCTCAATACTCTAGATATTTTTTTCCGAACAGCGACAAATATCTACAGACAACCTTGAACTGCTGGATACCATCCCCTTTCATGCGAGGGAAAGGAAATACTTGCCTAGAGACGTCCAGAGAGGCAGAGCGAAGGAATCTGGGCAGAACGTCTATTAATCTTTAGTCGATTATTCGCTCCGAGGATACTTCAGAGCCATCAGGAAGGACAGTCGCCGCCGCTGTCTGCGTTTATTTTGAAGTTCGCACGTTTGTCACGATCCAGAGGATCTCGGTTTCAAAGACGCCGTCCCCGGGAGAAGCACTGGCAGGAAAAGAGCGGGGGTCAGATGGGTTATCTTTCGTATCACTCAACGCTGAGGCCCGTTCCAATAAGCCTGCGGGCCTGAGCAACCAGAAATGCGGCCTGTTCCGGGAATACACCGTTCTGATATTTTTCATAAGTCCCTGGGTTTAGGCAAATCACATTCATTCGTTTTTGTCAACAGAGCATTTATTAAATTTTCTGGCCGAGGATGGTTGAGTAAAAACCCGCTTACTGGCCACTTTGTCCGTCCTTAAAATCCACCAAAAACAAAGAAAGCGATGAAACATAGAGGGGAAAATCCTCTCTGTCTTTAATATTTTAAGAAAACTGCTGCAGGCCCGATCACTGCCAACGAGTCATGACGGCTGTTGAACAGAAAACCTGAGTTAAAAAATAAAAATAAAAAAATGATGAGCGTCCTGGCCGGTTTGGCTCAGTGGTTAGAGCGTCGGCCCGTGGACTGAAGGGTCCCGGGTTCGATTCCAGCCAAGGGCATCTACGTGGGTTGCAGACTGGATCTTCCCCAGCCCCAGGCCAGGGCCTGGGCGGGAGGCAACGTGTCCGTGTCTCTGTCACATCCGTGTTTCTCTCTCTCTCTGTCTCCCTTCCACTGTCCCTGAAAAGCAATGAGAAAAATATCGTCAAGTGAGGATTGAAAAAGAATAATAAATAGATAAAATAATGTTATGTCTTTAATATCTAAAATAACAATAATAATAAAATGATAATAAAATGATAAATAATAATAAAATGATAAAATAATAATAAAATGATGGAAACACAGAAAGCTAAGCAACTTGTCCACGGTCGAAGGGTGGGCAAGAAATCTCACCGGGCATCTGGACGCTGGGAAGAGGCCGGCGAGAAGGGACCCAGGAAATCGAAAGACCCGGGCGACGAAAGCCACTGTGGGGCGATGACCGTCACCAGAGACAGGCGGATCCGTCTGTCCGAGGAGAACCACGCGTCCGTCCGTTGAGACAACCTGCTTTGGAAATGACGTGAGGAAAGCTTGAGCGGCATCTGGGCCTTTGTACGACCTGGAGTTTATCGTCTCGGTCGGTGGGCCGGCCGGTCGGGGTCGCCTTCCCTACGCGTCCGTCGGGGGTCAGCGCAAACCTAGGGGACGTTTCTCTCTCTCTCTGCCTCTCTCTAAAATCAATAAAAATATATATATTTTTTTAAAAAGATAGAAAGTGTAGAATGACGGCCTTGGTGTGGAAAGAGCGTTGGGTGTGTCCGTGTTGGCCGGGGGTCTCCGATGCAGCTAGAGACACCCCGAGACGGACACAGATGCGACGTGCGTTTGGCAAGTGCTGCGAGGGAAAGGGCGTCAGGGGGTCGCCGGCAGCCGTGGGCGTCCCCGGGGCCGGGGCCCTGCTGGTTGGCACCGGCAGGTGTCGTGGGGACGCCCCTCCGGGCTGTGGTGCTTCAGGCTGGGGGGCCGGTGTGGGGCTGGGAGCCCCGGCTCCTCGGGGAGGCCGGCCCGGCTGGGGTATCCCCCTGCTTCTCGGGGGGGCTGTTCTGTAATTTAGCTGCAATTTTGATGCAGCCGCGGGAGGAGGGGAGCACAGCATGGGCCCCGTGTGCCGTCTTGACCAGAATATAAAGGCAGACCCTGAATGTTTATGCTACGTACACAGACGATGCACGAAATAGCATCTGTGCGCATGCAGGGGGTCTATCCACAGGCAGCAAGCCATTAACAGATGTCTTAATATAGCTTAATATATATTAATATATCTTATAATTAATTGTTATATTAAATTAACATATCTTAATATATATTAAGATTATATATATTATCTTATATAT